CCTTCTTTTGAATTTAAAAAAAAAAAAATTAAAACGTTTTTCTGAAATTAAAAGGCTAAAATGTTTTTAATTAATCAAAAAATAGGTGGCTAAAATATTCATTCGGGCTACTTAATTGGCCCAAAGCCTAAGTGCCCAATCTTGACTATTAATAATATAGTCAAATTCTAATTTCCCTCCAAAACACCCTCAAAATATTCAAACTATATAAGACAAAGAAGTGCTTTTAAACACATCTTCCTTTCTTTCTTTTTCCAATGAGGGACAAAACAACCTCTTCTCAAATACTCCCATCAAATACTAACTAATCTAACCGTTGATACTACTTGATGGGAGTTATTGTTGTACTAAATTGTTGACAAGGCAATATTTATGTAGAATTTTATTTTTGGTTAAGGATTTATTGTGCTGCAAAAAAAAAAAAAAATAAAACTCCAAGACGTCTAAACCTAAAAGAATTATAAATATTAGGAAAATAATTAAATGTCTAATCCTAAATATTAGGAAATATCTAATTCTAAGTATTAGAGAAATAAGTAAATAATTTTATCTAATGTGAAATATATTTTTAATGGATAAAAAGGCAAACGATATTTCATTAAGGGCCTTCGTGCTTTTAATATAGTATATAGAAAGGTAGATGTTAATAAACTTTTATGCTTTTTAGTCTTTTGTATTCATATTCTAAACTGGTAGCGAAAGTTTTAGATCATTGACAAGAGGCAAACGCAGTGAAATCAGACGAGTTAAGTCTGCTGCAGAGGCACCATTATCGAATAAAATTTGAGCAAATGATGAAGTGGAAATTGAATGCAGACAACAAAAGTAAAAGTCAAGTTGTGCCCCAGAAGCGAGCAACGAAACTGCCTAAGTTTTGAGTCTTAAAATGCCAACCAATATATATATATATATATATATATATATATATATATATATATATATATATATTCATTTTTTTCGAAATTACAGGGGACCGTTAATCCCCCATATCCCTATGGTAAGTTCGCCTCTGACAATAGGTGGTTATTTTGAGGGTGAAAAACAAGAGGTGGCTACTAAACTGAAATGTATTATCTCTTATAGAATATTCCGAAGTACATCCGAAATTGAATTTAAAATTTTGAAATTGGCAAATTTTTTTTCAAGCTAATACTAATCTATATCTATCTATCTATCTATTTATATCTATATCTATATTATATTAAAAGCACGAAGGCCCTTAGCGAAATATCGTTCGTCTTTTTTATCCCTTAGAAATATATTTCACATTAGACAAAATCGTAATTTAATAATTTTTCTAATATTTAGGAATAGTTGTTTATATTCCTAATATTTAATAATAGTCATTTAATGATTTTTTAATTTGAGCTACATAGAAAAAAAATGATATTTAGGACTTTTATGTATAAATCGTTTCCTTATTTGCTATGCAGGTTAACTATAATTCCTCCTATATCAATTTTTAATAATGTTAGGACTTCAAATCAGCCTCTAACTCTATTTATGAAATTAGTTTGCAAATCGATTGGCTACTTGCATGACTCACGAATATTTTGGTTATTTATTCTGTTGCACGGACTTTGAGTCTTCCATATTTATTTTTATATTTTTATTTAAATAAACAAAGACTTTTTATTAGTTATTCGCGCGATTTAGTTGCAAATTGATTATTCATATTATTTGTGCATTCTTGAGCAGAGCAACAGAGTTCCCCCTAATATGTATTTAGGATTTTAAATCAACTAATTTTGTGCATTAATTTCTTTCTTATTAAATATAAAAAATTCTAATACGTCGTATAAATTTTTTCATTATCTATATTTTGACAAAAATAAGAAAACCAAAAACGGTAAAGTCCACAAAAAATAAGTAAGAACTAACTGTTACTTAAGTCGGTAATTATATCAGTCGGCACTCCTTTGATATTAAAGATATTTAGGTTCTCAAATTAAATGCCTTTTGCTTTTATATATACTATATTTAAATATTTTTAACATATTACTATTAGTGCTAACATTTTAAAATTTATTGTAATATTACTTAACCAAAAATAAAAGTGAATCTGAATATTTTGAAAGGACTTTTTTAGAACTTTGATATGTGAAGAAAAAGTTGAGGAAAAATTTAATAGTAAGAGAAAAAAGATACTATAAAAAGATAATTTTGGATAAAGGCTAGAAGTTTAAATTTGAAGATATTATCTATTCTTTAACGTATGGTTGATAGGTAAGTGACAAGCTCAAATACAAATCAAAGTTAGGGTGCTTTTGTGAATGACTATGACGACGACGACAACAACAACAACCCAGGGGGCTCCCACAAGTGAGGTCTGAGGAGATTAAAGTGTACGCATACCTTACCTTTACCTTAAGAAGGTAGAGATGTTGTTTTCGGTAGACCATCGACTCAAGAACAGTGAAAAAGAAGCAACAAACAGATAAGATAGCTAAATATGATAAACATTAAATATTTTCAAAAAAGTACACTTTTTTATTTTTTATTTTATAAGTTAATTTTATTATTAATAATACTTATCTAATTTGTTTAATTGTATACTCATTGATATAGGTACACGCGCAAAGCGCATACCCTAAAGCTAGTTGATAAAATAGTATTACCAAAGATATTAAAGTAAAATAGTTTTGTATAATAATAAAAAATAAAAAATGAATATTAATTTCCCAATTTTGGTGAAATACAAAAAGCGCTGTTTAAGTTGTCCCCAACGATCATTTGAACACCTTAATTGGCATATGACTAGACAGACACCTCTGCTTGGAAGAACTGTATCTCTTAAACACCTCACGCTGACATGGCAAAATTTGTATGTTACACTCACATGAGCGCATGAATCTTTTCAAAATTAGCTTTCTTTTTTTCTCCCTAAAATCAATATGGACCCCGCCTAATTCATACCTCTTTCTTCTCCGATTTTCCTCCACCAACCTCTGCAACAACCGATAAGGAACTTGCAAACCAAACTACAAAATTGAGGTCCCTACATTCTTAGACAGAACCACAGAGGTCCTCGAGCAGATGCTCCGCCTCCATGTCGAACGGGTCATCTCCGCCACCAATCCCACGACTACGACGACTCTTTCATTAGCTTACTCAGATCCATCATCAAATTCCTTCACCACCTCGTTTCCCAAAGCAAGCCTCTCCGGACCCGACCCGATCTCAAAACTCGACCACCCAAATCCTTCACGAGTTCAAGAAGACCTGGAGCCTCCAAATCGAGATTCGGTTAGAGAAAGGCACGACAATTAGGTGGAAGACATAATTGAAAGGAGGTGAGGGGGAGATGGGGCAAAAGGAAGAAGAATAGGTTTTGTGAG